CATGAAATGGATATTTTGCATCTATAATTTTACCTCATTTTTGATTCTTTAAAAACCACATTTTCTTGAGGACTTTTGCACTAAAGTAACCATTGCAAAGAAAAAGCTTAATAATGAGATTTCCACTGCAATTTCATCTTATGTACATAGGTAAGTCTTGCATCATCTGCATTTCTTTGAAGTGGTAAGGAACCCCAAGGGCAGAGCACAGACTATTTATTTTTGTTGGTTTCACAGCAGGCTGACTTTCCCCAGCCTTTATCTCCAAACAGAGACCAAGAACAAAGACAACACAGATCTGTACACTAGAATATCCACAGAAATTGCAAATACTGGTTCCTACAGAGAGCTAAAGGTTAAGGTGACTAATGAGTGGCAGGGGGTGAGAGTGGAAGCAAGTAGCCTAAGAGAAAATGCTTATTGGGCATGGTGGTATATGTTTGTAATTCCAGCACTTAGGAAGCTAAGACAGGACAATCACGAGTTCAAGGCCAGTCTTGGCTACACAGTGAGACCCTGTCAAAACAAAAACAAAAACAAAACACCAAAGTACATGTTGACTTCTTTGGAAAGTTCACCAGTGTCAAGTCAGGTGGTCAAAGAGTGAGAAGGGGGACAGACTTTGCTCTACCTAAGAGCAGGAGTTTTTGTGCAAGGCCTATCCTCCCACTTAGCAGAAGCAGAACAGCCTTGGACCTGCCAAGTACCAGTGGGACCAACTCCTAGTCCCAAGTTCAAGGTACAAATCATCATTATGTTTATTATTTACTGTGTGAGGCAATGTGGTTAGTGCTTCAAGCAGCTATAACGCTCCCATTTAGGAGGAAAACATGGGACTAGGAGTGGCAGCTGGGATGAGGAACAGCCTCAATGTCTATCTATTTCATTCACACCCGCAGGCTGGAGACTGCTGGTCTGCAGCCTCCTGAATCAACTCCTGCCATCACCCCTTTTATGCTCTGCTGTGGAAACCCATGCCAAGCTTCTCCAGGCACATCTCTCCAGGCACACTTGCCCTGTGTGCCTGATGATGTCCTTCCTCCTTGGCCTCCTTCTACTCTTCTCTTTCCACTGAAGAAGGCGGTGTCACAAGACCCTGACCCTACTGTTCAAAGACAGTGCCCAGAATCCATCTGATGGAGGAAAGGTGACTCTGAGACTACCGAGACTACTGTTTGGTGACAGCACTGGTGCCCCCAGTGCAGGGGCTGCTGTAAACTCAGAAAGCACTTGAGCACTCAGTTACAACCGTATGAGGTTGTAACCTGCATTTCACAGACAAAGAAATCAAGGCAGAGGCTGCACCTGAGTGAGTGGAGCTGGGATCCAAGTCAGGTGTTACCTGTGCATGCTGCTGTGCACATCTGGCCTTACCTCCAAGAAGCTTGAGTTTCAGACCCTTCGGGTTCTGAGAGACACGCTGGTTCCTTAAAATAGGCCCCTCATGACTAACAGGCTCTCAACTAATCCACTTAGGCAAGTTACTTCAACTTAATCTGGTAAAGGACTCCTGACAGGTTTCTACTCAGCTGTGAACCCATGAAAAACCAGGGCCTGGGGAGGCAGAATAGCAACTCAGTCAGGAAGGAAGTAATGCAGAGAGCCTTGGGAAAGTGAGAGTGGTGTAAGCTGGAAGGGGAAGCATGTGTGGACATCTCTAACCCTCTCCACAACAAGCACACACTTTGTCCAGCTCTGCCAATAACAGTGCAAAGCAGTGTATGGATTCTGAGGTAACAAATAAGGAAATCTTGCTCTTGGGCCAAGAGAAGAAAAGGGTAAAACCATGTGCACCCATTTCACCCTGCTGCCTCCCAGGCTTAGCATTTGAAGACACTGACTGTCCTCGCTTCCTGACTTTTCTTTTGGAAGACAGTGCATCACAATGTAGCCCAGGCTGACCTCAAACTCATCATCCTCTTGCCTCAGCCTCCAGGGTGCTGTGATTACAGGCATGCACCACCATGCCTGGCTCGCTCCTTGATTTGAAACATTAAAAATGTGTCCTTTTTTTTAACCTGAGATAGTTTACTTGTACATAACATAATCCCTAGCATTGCATCTTTTTCCTAATGCTGTTTTCTATCCCTTCACATTTATAAATCCTGCTGTGGCTTGCAAAGTTGTGGTCAGAGCAAAGGTTTTGTGATGTGCTAAGACTCTATATTTTTTTTGGAGCAGTACTGGCAGGGATTGTTGGCAGGTGTTCTATGACTTCAGCCATGTCCCCAGCCCTTTTTAGCTTTAGTTATTTTTCAGGTAGGGTTTTGCATTTTTGCCCAGGGCTGTCCTCAAACCATAATCTGCCTACCTACTGCCTTCCATATAGCTGCAATGACAGATGCATACCATCACACTGACTTATTGATTGAGACGGATCTCACTAACTTTTTGCCCAGGCTGGCCTTGAACCACAATCTTCCTGATCTCCACCTCCCAAGTAGCTCAGATTATAGGCATGAACCACCACACCCATCATAAAACCTGGTTTCTAGTGATGGATGGCCCAGCCTTCAGTTGACCTCCAGATTCCTTGGTGAAGGTGATATCTGTAATTTTGCAATGAAGTATGAAAGTGGAACATGAACGGGCTCTGCCACGGTAGGCTCTATTAGCAGTTAAGAATTCTGGTCATTTATTTGAGAAAGAGTCACAGTGTTGCCCAGGCTGGCCTCAAACTCACAATCTTCCTGCTTCAGCATTCTGGGTGGCTGGGGCTACAAGTGTGTACCACTGTGCCTGCTTCAGTCACGGTTTTTGTGAATTCTTTGAAGCCATGACTTGAGGAAGATTGGCCCTGACCCATCTCTATTTTCTTTCCTATTGTCTGGTTGAAACCAGCCCACCAGAAAAACCTCTAAAGTTCCTGTGGCCCAATGGCTATGTTGAAAGACAGGTTTCCAGTCCCTGAAGTTGGACTGTGAAAAAAGCTGTTCACAGGCATACCCAGCCTATGCACAGGAAAACAGCACAGGCACCAGCAGCTTCCTCCTGCTTCTCCTGTGTCAAGCAGGACCTTGAACATCAGGAGGTTAAGATCTAGGGCAGCCCCTCTGGAATGCCCCGTTCACCAGGAGACCTCATTCAAATGCAACTATGATTCGATTCAGCAGGTCTGGGTAGAGTGTTGCTGACAAGCTAGACGAACATGTTAGCCTCAGACCTCACTCTGAGCTCCAGGATTCAAAAAATTGTCTCACTCCCATCAGGCTGACCCAGAAGCCAATCTGTTGTTGCTGGAAACTCAAGGCCTCCCCACTTCACAGCCCTGAACCTGCTGTTGGCCGCTCACCCTATCCCTTCCCCAGATGCTATTCATCCTCCATTTTTGAAATGGAGGTCATCCCTCTCAATGCTCCTGAGTCTCTCCCACTCACAAAACAAGGTTCCCTTAGAGTGGGAAACTTACAGTTAGGAAGAGGCCTGTGACTTTCCACAACCCCAAAGGGCTACATCCAGTTTAGGAAGCTTCCCTTCAAAGAAAGCCAGCACTTTGTCCAGGCTGCTTGCCAAGTGTGAGTCTCCTGGCTTTTTCTCCTTGCTTGTTTACTTTATATATGCCTGTTTGGTCCTCTGAGCAATCTGGCATTTCTCTTAAGAGTTGGCATTGTGACTCTGAGCCTTTGTGGCTATAGTCCCTGGCACTAAACACCTGGCATATAAGAGGATACATTTGTAGCAAAATTAAATGATAATTAAATTTGGGGGAATGCAACTTGGCAATCTGTATTTAAGGCTTTAGATATATGTGTATTTTATGGCCTAATATTTCCATTTTTAAGAGCTGATCTTAAATAATCAGAAACAAGTGATTTTTAAATAAAGCATTATTCAAACTGTAAACACTGGAAGCCAATAAAATAGAATGATTATGAATTATGCCTATAGCTTTAAAAAGCATATTTCCAGGGCTGGCAGAGTGGTTCAAGTGGGAACTGCCTGCCTAGCACGCATGAAGCCCTGAGTTCAAGCCCCAGTACGGCAAAAAAAAAAAAAAAATTCTTCCTAAGAACACTTCATTAATGAAAACGTTCATTACACAATATGTAGTGACAAAACAGATTGCAAAGCTGGATAAACAGCATGATCATAATTTTATAAACTATACGAATATAGGCAGAAAAATAGAAATAGAATATACCAAAAGTTGATAGCTGACTGCTAAGGAGCATGACGGCAGGTAATTTTATTCTTTTCGTTCACTTCCTTCTATTCCAGATTTCTTTTGCAATGAATTTATGGTAAATTTATAATTATTTAAGTTGTAAATTACAAACATGCATACATTATTTTCTAATAGTTTTAAAACCTGTGTGTCTTGTCTTCCTAACTTCTTCACAAACTCCTCAAGGGTCAGGTTGTATGTTTGGTTTCTCCCACCCTAAGGACTCCAGATTAACAAGACTTTAGTACTGTCACTAACAATTGATGCCATCTTTCTCCAAAGTTATTATTATTTTTAATACCAGCTGCCTTAGAAAGTCTCCGTTCTTCTCAAGACTGGCCTAGAGATACTTCTGGCCTTCTGTCCCTTTTCATTTGGCCTGTGCTGGACTGTGCTTTAGGACTTCGCCTCCCTGAAGGTCTAGACCATCTACAACCTGGCACCTGGGGCAGGCAGGTGATGCCCAAGTGGCTCTCATTAACATTCTTCTGAATAATTACCCAAGACAATGGCAAAACTCAGCCCCATTCCCAGGACACCCAGTGGAGGCAAACAAAATGAGGCGACCAGGGCAGGTCGGCAGTGCTTCTTTACCTAAGCTATGGAATCTCAAAGCAAGGAGCCTCGAAGTACCTCGAAGGGCACAGGGACAGAGGTTTGGCGTGCTCAGGTCCTCCGGGATGGAATGCCAAGAAGGAGAGGGCGGAGGCGGGGAGGCGGGGCCCGGGGCGCTGGGAGGTGGGGCCCGGGACGTGAGAAGGCGGAGTCCGGGAAGGCGGGACCTTGGAAGACCAGACCCGAGACGCTGGCAGACGGAGCCCGGGGAGGCAGGACCTTGGGAGGCCTGGTCCGGGAGGAGGGACCCGGGGCGAAAGGGAGGCGGGACCCGGGGTGGGGGAGCGGCGCGCGCCGGCGTCCCCCGCGCTCCTCCCGAGCGCGGCCCCTGGAGTCCCCGAGGCGCGCGACCAGCCTATCTCCGGCCCGCGGTTCACGGAGCAGCCCGGCACCAGAGAGAGCGCCGGCCGGGTACCGGGGCCCGGCCGGACGGCAGGGGGCTTTGCCCCCAACAGCCTTTCTGTGGTCCCTGAGCTGCGAAGGCGAAGGTGAGGCAGAGCGGGGCCGAAACCATGAACCGGAGTTTTCACAAGTCTCAGACCCTGCGCTTCTACGACTGCAGCGCGGTGGAAGTCAAGAGCAAGGTAAGCCTCATAGGCCCGCTCCGGCAGTCTGAACTCCTTCCCTGGCAAATGAATGGGGTGCCCCGCGGAGGGGGACTGGAGCAGTGTGGGAGGCGACCGGCGCCGGCGACAACTTTCGAACTCGGGCGCCCGTACCACTGCGCGCGGGGCTGCACGGGGTGGGCGATATGTGTACGGAGGACCCCAGCCGTCCTTCCCACCCACAGCATGGGCACAAAGCCCGGCAGCCCCGGGAGGGTCCTGATGGGGCCGAGGGCCATCAGACAGGCAGTGCAAGCTCCGGACCCGCTCCCCGAGATCTGCTCTTTTGTTCCACGAGCGAGAGGCGACCCGGGCGCTCCACACGTTGGAGAGGAGGGCGGCGTTTCCGGGGCGATCTGGGGACTGGGGGCTGCTCAGATTCGCGGCCGCAGAGGGGCCTCTGGGGGCCCAGGCTCGGGGAGGGCCCTGGCCGCGCCGCCTCCTTGGCTGTGAGGAACCGTAGTTACCGGTGAGGAGAGTGGCCAACGGCTCCCGGACAGGGCCCCGGCCCAACCCCCAGCCTCCAACCTGGCGCTGGGTACCAAAGCCCAGGCCCCAAGCGCGTCTCCGGCCCAAATTCAGACTCCCCCCCGGTCCCGGCACACCCCCTACCCAGACATCTCACCCGGGCGCGTCCCCAGCTTAGACACCCCCCCCCACACACACACACACACAGACACAGGCGTCCCTGGGCCCAGACACCTTCCCCTGCAGGCGTGCCCTCAGCCCAGACCAAGACCCACTACCAAGCGCTACCCGGGCCCAGCCCCAGCGCGCCCCAGCCCCTCCCACTGCCTGCGCCCTGGCGGAGCGTGCTAGAACTTGCGGGTCGCGGTGCGTGTCTGGGTAATTGGCTGATAGGATCTGGCGCTTCTGCCCTTGCGGGGGCGGCACCCTCGCTACAGATGCTTTTGTCTGGGAGGGTCTGCGTAGTGGACCAGGTAGGCTGAAGAGCTGCTGTTGCTGAGGTCCTGTGGTAGGGACCCCTCCAGCCTTTTGCTGACTACTGTCTAGGTAGCCCAGTGGCCCTCTTGCCCTTTCTTGCTTTGCACCACTGGTCTAGGTAAAGCAAGGTGGAGCTGCCAGAGTGGTGGAAAAGGGACCAGGGTCCTGCCCCTCCCCCTCCCCCTGCACTCACTTTGGGCCCAGGGTGGTTGTTCACTTTCCTGGTCTCTGGTCAAGCAATGCCCTTTCTGAACTACCGACCTGCCCAAAAGGGCCCTTTGGTGTAGGATTTTCAGGGTGTCTACAGAGGAGGGGTTCCAGGGCAGGGCCACACAGGCCCAGTGAATTGCAGAAACTGCCTTCTCATCTTGGGAGGGCGCTTCCCACCTCCCCCACCGAAACCTTCCTTGCTGATAAGACCCTGCCTTTCCCCACACCCATCCGTTCTGGAGCCCAGGATTGTCCCCAAGCCCCCAAATCCAGTGCCCCACCATAAATTGTAGACGAAAGATCCACAGCAAAAGTGAGAATTTGAAGTAATTGGCAAGTTTCTTTAGCTCCATACAGTAGCCACTAAGCAAGGTTGTTATTTAACTTTCTTTAAACTTTTTATTTTGAGATCATTGTATGTCACAAGCAGTTGTGAGAGAGAATACAGAGATCCCAGGACACTTAGGTGACATCTTGTGTAACTAGCACTGTGTCACATATGCAAGACACTGACTGTGGATCAGTCCAGGGTGCTGTGTACTTACTTGTGTGTATGTGTGTAGGTACAGGCCATTCTTTAAAAAGATCCCTCCTGACAGTTGAGAGGTTACTTCATTTTAAGTGTGCATTGATTAGTATTAAACACTCTGTTCTGGTGCTCATTGGCTATCTGCAGTGCTGTGCCTTATCAAGTAAGCAAGACCCTGAGACAGATCTGGAGGAAATGCCTCACCAGGCCTTATCCTGCAGTTCGGGTCTGTGGCAGTGAGGGCTGCGCAAGCTAGAGAGTAAGAATCTGCTTTTGCCTTGCCTGGTGTGTTACCCTGCCTGCCTCCCCCAGCTCCAGTCAGTAGAGAAGTGCCACCCCGTGTGCCCATGTCTCCAAGTTCAGGTGCAGTAACCCTAAAAGTGTGTTGCAGAGCTAGAGTTTTGCTTGAACTTGGGAGTACTTGGAAAGGCCACATGGACATAGGAACCACTGGACAACTATCACACACTTCATTGGGCCTAAGTTACTTATCTGGAGGGTTCACATGGCTCTTCCTTTTGTATATGCCCTCCCACTCACCGCGTTTGTAATTGATATGTGTTACCATGGAGTCCATCTCTACAAGAAATGGCTGTTTCACAATGCAGGAGGCAGAACTTCATGACAGCGAAGACTTCATGCAACCTAAATGTAGTACCACAGCACCACGGGTTTGCTTGTGGGGAAATGGCAGCCAGGGAGCTGAGTGCACCCAGGTTCTATTACCTGCTGCCTTTGGGGACTTTCAGGCAAGTCATTTCACTTTTCTGAGCCTCAGTTAGGTCATCTGTAAAATGGATACCATACCCGATTTGTTTACTACCCAAGATGAAATGTGGCTATGTTAAAAGCTGCAGAGTGGCCACAGTCATGGGAGTTCAGTACCCTGTAGCACTTCAGGATACCTCATCTGAAAATTGCCAGAGGTCCTCTCACAATTGTCATCAGCCATCTGCCATGCCTGACCACCTCCTGGGACAGGATACAGCTGTATGTGCAGAGGGGACAAGACCTTGGTGGCTTACCCCCATTATATATCTCCTCACAGGGCACCAAATATCTTTAATTTCAGTGGTTCATCTATTCCTTTCCTAACCAGCAGTGTGTACTTTTTTTTTTTTTTTTAGTGGCACTCGGTTTGAACTCAGGGCCTCACACTTACTAGGCAGGCACTCTTACCACTTGAGCCACTCCACCAGCCCCAGGCAGTGTGCACTTTTGATTGCCTGGTTCTGGCTGTTCTTCCCACTTACCTTTGGCTTTTGCCTCTCCTCTTACAAGACCTGCAGCTAGGAGGGGGAACTGTGCAGATGGGTAGGATAGGGTGTTTCAAGCTGAGGGAAGAAGGGAAAATGCCTAGGCCACCTTGAAGGGTAGCAGGAAGGCCAGCACTGAGGTGAGAAGTTTCACAGCGGACAAAGTAGTAGAGGTGAGTTTTCATTTGACGAGATGGAAAGCATCTGCCATCATGAGCTCAGGAAGGCCTTTCTCTCAGTAGCTTTAGTCCCACATCATTTGCTTGTGCTTGAAAGACCTGAAGGAATACAGATTCCCCATCTGGGCAGTGTCTCAACCCAGAGTCCAATGGGTCATGGTCCCAGGTGCTTTTCCACACCTGTGGTTTCAGTCCACACCTGCCTTGGCCTGCACTGCTAAACCAGGGTTTGTGACTTCTATCTGAAAGCCTCTCTGAGAATCAACCTCCTGGACTGCTCCCTCTTCTACAAAGCCATTCCAATGGTACCCACACCAGGCCAAAAGCTCTCTTTTGTCCATCCCCTTTTCTGTCATGCCAGAGTCCTGTTTGGGGCAGGATCAAAGACCACACTGACACTAATTGTCTGTGGTGTCTGGGAGAATAACACATTGAAGGTTTTCATGCCACTGTGTCTCCCTATTTAGAGAATGTCAGGGCATGAAATGAGATAAACATCACTGATAATTCTCCTATACCCAGATGAGCCATGTTAAATGTTGCCTGCGAACTTCTGATGGTGATACACATGTATGCACACTTCACATTATTGTTTTCAGAATTATAACCATAAGGCACATTATTTTGCAACCTGCTTCCCACTATTAACTTGATACTATATTGCAAATGTTTCTTCATGTCATTAATATTTTTAGAAGACATTTGTAAAAAAAATGACTGCATAGTATTCCATTTTATGTCTAAACCATAATTCATTTAACAAATATCTTATTTACATTTCTTCCAGTTTTTTCCATAGTAAACAGTGCTGTGAGTAACATTTAAGTCTTTACATAATATTATATAGAGTTATATAAACTGTACACATATAAGGTATATTAAGATTATTGGTTCTAGCCAGGTATGGTGTCACACATCTGTAATCCCAGCACTTGGGAGGTTGAAGCAGGAGGATCACAAGTTCAAAGCCAGCATGAGTTACATAGCGAGAACCTCTCTCAAAAAATAAAAATAATTTAAAGAAAGATTATTTATTTTATAGAAAATTAGATCAGTACAAAATTCTTATTGTTTGTATAGGACAAATCCCTAAAATAAAATTACTTGGGCATAAGGTTTGCACATTTTCAAAACTTTGAATACATATCGCTAAATGTTCTTCCAGAAAGTCTCTTCTGCCAGTTCATGTACGTTATCTCTATTTACACATCCATCTCTCTCCCCGCATTCTTCTTACTCCCTCCTTCCAACACTGGGCATTTCCTCATTCCTTCCCAATTATATAAGTCTTCATTTGTGTTTTTCAAGTTATTTGTGAATTGGAACTTTTCATATGTACTGGCTATTTGTATATCTATTTTTCGCTACCTGGTTTTGTCCTGTATCCTTTTCTGAATAGTGCTGTTTTTATTGACTTATAGAGCTGTTTGTCCATGGAGGCCCCCAACAATGCTGGCAGTGCTGAGCAGGACTGGTTTTCAAAGTGCTGGGTAGAACTGGTGTCCCTTTCCTGGACCTTGCCCAGGCATTAAGCTGGGCCCTCCAGGAGGGTGTAAGGAGTAAGCACCTTGGTGGCCTGTTGGTATATGCTGGCTAGTCAGGTTCTTCTGTGGACAGATGGGCACACGGTGTTTTATGTCATCATTTCTCCTCTGGCCTCCAAGATCTTATCTCTGGCTGAACTTGTTGTTCACTACCATGGAGCTACAGGGACACGCCTTTCCATCTGGCATGAGACAGCAGGTGGGATGGAGCCTAGTCCAGGCCTCCCTGTTGGGTGACTGGAGATTTGCCTCCCAAGGGCCAGTTGAGAACTGCCTAGAAACAGTTTGACTCACCTGTGGGTCTGCTGCACCCTTT